ATGTTGAGTGACATAAATCAGCCACAAAAGGACAGTTATAGTATAGTACTACTAAAATAAAAAAAAAACCACTCAGGAGCTGTGCACACACAAAATCAATTTTGGAGGGTTAGTAGGAATGAGAAAGGAGAATAGAATAAAAATGGTTAGATAAGTTGGGTAGAGGGAAAGGCAATATAGAATAAGAGTTTGATAAGACAGTACAAGAAATTCATTATCTTAATTGCAATTAATGTTATAAAACAAAATGTCTGGATTCATAAAGATTGAACATTTGTAATGTCAATTAAAATAGGAAGCAGAGGAAGAGGGGTTCCTTTTAGAGGGTAGAGTAATTTTTAGAATATGTAGTGCTTGCATTGGTTGTGAGGCATTTTAGCCAGATGTTCAATAGCTAATGTAGAAATTTTGGAAAGAGATTGGAACTAGAGATGCAGAGTTAGGAGTTTTCCACGCTACAGATTCTAGAATCTCTGAAATCTGGAGAAAGAAGCAGGTAACTACAAAAAGATCAATAGCTAAAACAAAGGAAATAGACACAGAGAGATGTTAGAGATAGGACCACTGGAGATGAATGCATGCCTGAGGCAAATAGAGAAAGGAGTGTCTGGAATGAGGGGCCCCTGAATTGTCAAGGAGAATGAGGACTGAAACTATGAAGTGCAGGTTTAGTGTCTGGGAAATAATTAAGTTCTGCAATGCAGTTATAGGATAGGAAAGAAGGTATAGGTCAAGACTGCAGAGTGAGCTATCCCAGCAGCTCCATCATCATATTTAATGGCTATGACGCTCATTATCATAACTCTGATCATCAAGAAAAGGTTAATCAGTCTGTTAAATATATAATTAGAAATCATTCCTGTAATACTGAGAATGAAAATAAGCTGATTTTAAGATTATGCATTTTTTTAATTTGGTAAAAAATTATTTCATCAAGTGTATAGCCATTTGGGTTTGCATGAGCACAATTAAGTGTTCTGAGAAAGTTTTAATAGTCTCAAAAAGGGAGCTTCAGTGACTAAGAATAATAATAATAAATACTTGCATCTATTTTAACATCATTCCCTCCTGTAGGTCTTTGGTCTGGGAACTAAGGCAGCAAACCTTGCTGTCAGTGGGGAACAAATTTCTTTCAGTTTAACATCTTTATCTTGTTGATGCTTCTGCTCTCTCAGCACCTAATTCCATTCACTTTACATGTTGTAAAAAGTTGAAAATGACTTTGGGGGATTTCTTCCTGTTAGAATTTTTAGTTCTGTCCTTGTTAAAGTATTTACCCTTACTGACTTTGAGGGTTGTTGTTAGTTGCTGTCAAGGGTACTCCTACTCCTAATGAGTGAAAAGTTGTCCAGTTCTGAACCATTTTCATGATTGCTGCAATGCTTGAGCCTACTATTGTGGCTACTATCTATTTTGAGTGCCTTACAACATAGGGGGCACATTGTCCAGCAATGTATCAGGCAGAATTCTGTTGTGATTCATAAAATTTTCATTGGCTAATTTTGGGGAAGAGATTGTCATGCTTTTCTTCCTTCTCTGTTTTAGACTCTTCAGTTTGTTGTTGTGTCTAGTAAGAGTAAGGGAGCCCTGATGGTGCAGTGGTTAAGCACTTGAGTGTTAACCAAGAGTTTGGTAGTTCAAACTCACCATCTTTTATTTGTGTAGACAAGAATTCTGTAAATATTTGTTAAAAGAAAGTCTATCTCACACCTGGAAGCAGATGACAGTAATGGAGAAGGAAACAAGAAAGGCTTCAAGAAAATATTGCAATATGGTAGACCTTAAAGGATAGATTTTAAGAAACAGATGAGGAGGAAAGGACATTCTATGAAGATAGAACAACATTATCAGTCATTGAAACAAAGTCTTTTGGCTGGTTAAGGGAAGTAAATGTCAGGCAATTTTGAAATTGCATGAACGTTTGAATAAGCCTCATGGTCTTTGCAATCACTTGTTATGCGTCAGAGAGTTAGACAATGACTAGGGAGGATAGAAGGAGAATTGATGCCTTTGAGCTGTGGTGATGGAGAGGAGTATTGAATGTACCATGGACTGCCAAGAAAACAAACAGATTCATCCTGGAGAGGGTTAAACCAGGCTACTCCTTGGAGGCAAGGATTCTGGGGCTTCGTCTGATATACTTTGGACATGTTGTAAGGAGAGACAGGTCCTTGGAGAGGAACATCATGCTTGGTAGGCTGGAGGGACAGCGCAGGAGGGGAAGACCCTCTATGAGGTGGATTGATTCAGTGACTGGGGTAATCGGGATGGGTGTGTTGGAGGCAGTGCGATTGGCACAGGATAGAGCAGAGTTTAGGGCTGTTGTACATAGGGTCGCTATGAGTCGCAAACGACTCGACGGCACATAATAACAACAACAATATAGGAATATAGTTTTTCCCATATTCCAGTAGTTTTTCGTACAGTGACTCTGATCCTATTTTGTTATTAGGTACTATCTAGTTGAGTACATCTCAGAGTGACTCTATGAACAACAGATCTGGAAGTCCTTTCCTATGCCAACTTCACAGTCTCTGACACACTGGAGCCTATGGCTGCAGTCACTGTGTCCATCCATCTGGTTGATAGTCTTCCCTGCCTTTGCTGTTTCCCCACCTTTCCAAACATGATGTCCTTCTCCAAAGAATAGCCTTTCCTAGCAACATGGCCAAAGTATATGAGACAAAGCCTGCCATCCTTGCCTCCAAAGAGGCACCTTCTCCAGGACATACCTGTTTGTTCTTTTGGCAGTTCATGGGATATTCAATACTCTTCTGCATCACTACAGTTCTTTTTCTGTCATCCTTATTCATTGTCCAGCTCTCAGATGATAGGAAGGTATTGAAAAGACCTGAATCAAGCACATCTTAGTTATCAAACTAACATTATTGCTCCTCAGTAATTTGGCTAGGTCCCAGTGCAGTACATTTCCTGATCTCCTGGACTGCTGGTACCAAGTGTACTGATTGTGTATCCAAGTAAGATGAAGTTATTGACAGTTTCGTTTTTTTTCCAGCTGTTATAATGTCACCTATCAAGTCCAGTGGTTTGAATTTTTGTTTTGTTAACATTGAGACACAATCCATATTGTAGGATGCAGTGTTTTATCTTCTGCAACAAATATTTCAAGTCTTTTCACTTTCAGCAAGCAAGGTTTTGTCATCTGCATGTTGTTGTTGTTATTGTTATTGTGTGACCCTCTAGCCGGATTTCAGAGACTATAAATCACACAGGAGGAGAGTGCCTATCCTTCTCCAACAGAACAGCTGGTGGATTTGAACCTCATGCCTTTGGTATTGCAGCACAGCTTCTTATTACTAGGCCACCAGAGCTTCCTATCATCTGCATACTGAAGATTATTGATAAATCTTGCTTCAATCTTGATGCCACGTTTTTCTTCATAGAGTTCAGTTTCCCAAGTAAGTTCAGCATACAGATGAATAGGTATGATGAAAGGCTATAACCCTGATACATGCCTTTCGTAATTTTAAAACGTGTTGTACTCCCTTGCTCTGTTCACACAACAGCTTTTAGGTCTAGGTAGAAATTGACCCCATATGTTTCCTTTAAATAGCAAATGACCCTTATATACATTGTCATGTTCACATTGCCTACCTAAAACCCTCACTGCTTTCAGATTGATTGCAGCTCATCACCCACTATTGGGTTTCTGAGGCGTTAAATCTCAAGCATAGTAAACTACCACATCCTTCTTTTGAAGCCCAACATGGAATGTTTTATAACATCAGAGCTCCTTGTTCATACTACAGACAAAAAAATAATGGGGCTTTCGCCATTTTATTTCTGTGTATGTATCTCTTTTATAGCACTTACATTGTCTTGTATTTATATGTCTATTTCTGAGCAGACTTGAGTTCTTGGAGAGCAAGGGCTGCCTTTTATTTATCTTTGTTGTTGAGTGCTTGGCCTATTGATGACTTTCTGGATTTATCTTTTCTGAATATTCCATGTAGCTGGAATCAGATAGTATGCCACTTTTTGCATGGATTCTTTCATTCAGCATGTTTTCTAGGCTTACCCATGTCATGTTGGTGTTTGCCATTGAGTCAGAACTAATTCATAGCTGACCCTCCATCAGATTTTCAAAGTCAGTAAATTGTACAGGAAAAGATTGCCCTCCTCTCACAGAGAAGCTGGTGGATTTGAACCACATGCCTTTGGGATTTCAGTGCAACTTCTTACCACTAGGCCACCAGAGTTCCCATGGATATCATAATACATATAAATACTGTATTTTTATGGCAAATCAGTATTCCATTGTGTGACTATACTACATTTTTAAAATATTCATCAGTTGATAAACATTTTGGATTATTTCTACTTTTTGGTTATTATAAAAAATCCTGTTCTGAACTGTCAGACAAGTTTTTGTGTGGGACTAATGTTTTTGTGTCTCTTGAGTAAGATAGATGATAGATAGATAGATAGATAGATAGATAGATAGATAGATAGATAGAATAGATAGAGGGAGAGGGAGGGAGGGAAGGAAAAAAGGAAGGAAGGAAGGAAATGCTAAGTAAAATAACTCAGCCACAAAAGGACAAATATTGTTTAAGATCACTGTTATTAAAACAGGGTGGTTACAGGGCAGGGGAGTGGGGAGAGTGGTGACAGAACAGAAAAAGAATGGCTAGCTAATTCCTGTATTAGAATAGGTGAATAAAAGGTCAAAATAATCAGACATGTGTATTGCAAATAACAATCTGAAACAGGACGTAGACTGCGAATAAAATGGGGATGGGAGGAAGAAAAGGGCAAAACCTAGTAAATAAAGAAGGTGGATGAAGAGAATAACATTATATAATAAAGGCTTGCTTAGACATTGTGATAAGTTAATTGCATCGATAGTAATGAATGCTTGTGATGCTTTTTGGAAAAAAAACAAGTGTAATTTGTTAACTTTAAAAAAATGGATTTTTTTTAAAAAAGAAAGCATAAATTGGTTTTTCTTTTAGGAAAGAATACAAGAAAAGAATACCATGGGGCAAACAGTGAATGAAGGTAAGATTTACTTTTTTAAAGTGTAGAATACTTTATTTACTTGGAATGATAATCTTCTGATATGCTGAATTTTAAAAATAAAGCCCTTGAAAAACAAAGTTATCAGTGGTGACTGTTGTTGTTGTGTACTGTCAAGTTGGAACTGACTTATCATTGACCCTCCAGCACGTTTTCAGAGACTGTAAATCACACGAAAAAGAGATTGGCCATCTTTTTCTCTTGGACTGGCTGGTGGATTTGAGCCACATGTCTTTGGGTTGGCAGCACATGTACCTGACCACTCCTTGCCAGTTAAGCCACCAGAGCTCCTTATCAGAGGTATTAATTATGTAGAATTTTAAAAATGATATAGTTGTTAAAGGTAATTTTGGGGAAGTGGGAAGGAAAGAGATTAAAAAATTTATAAACAGAGAAAATGAGTGTAAAGAATAGCAATATACAATAAAGATTCTTTAAACATTGTAAAGTTAAATTAATGCTTATGAATGATTATCTGAAAAAACGTAATTTGTAAACTTTCATGCAAATAAAATAGATTTTTAGAAAATACAGGTAATGTTGTTTTCTCTTCCTAGTTTTATAAATGGAAAAATGGAAATTCAGAAAGGTTAAGTGAATGTGCAGAGCACACAGCAGTATGATTTGCATTAGAATCCAGTCTTCTAAACTCTGATAAGCGTGATTTGAAAAAGGATTCATTCTGCCTTGCCCTAGTAAAAATGTCTACTCACTGTACCATGTATAAACTCAAACTCTTATTGCCATCAAGTCAGAATCAACTCATAGCTGACCCTTCAGTGGGTTTTTGGAGGTTGTAAATTGCATGGGAAAGGATTACCCATCTTTTTACCTCAGAATTACTGGTGGGCTTGAACCTCTAGAGAGGCTGTCTTTAAGCCAGCAGCTCCAGAGCTCTCTGAATAGGCCACATTGTTCTTGTTGTTGTTATCTTCCATCAAGTGAACTGCAACTCATAGCAACCCTGGGAACAGTAAATCAGAACCTTGCTCTGCCCTGTGCCATCCTTACAATCTCTACCATGCTCAAGCCCATTGTTGCAGTCACTTTGTCAGTCCATCTCTTTGAGGGTCTTCTTCTCTTTCTCTGACCCTCCACATTTCTCAGCATGTTCTTTTGTCCAAGGACAAAAGTATGCCCAAAGTATGCAAGACCATGTTTCACTATGCTTGCATCTAAGGAACATGCTGGTTGCACTGCTTCTAAGAGAGCTTTGTCTTTTGGCAATCCATGAGGTACTTAATACTCTTCACAAGCACCACAATTCAAAGGCACCAATTCTTTGATCATCCTTATTTGCCATGCTCATTTGCAGTCCCTGCCTTGTATGTTCTTCCCATTTCTGTCTGTTTCAATCTTGTTCTTCCTTCAGACCTCAGTTCAAGTTTCTCTGGCTAAACCCTGACTTCTGCTACACTCTGATTTTGTCAAATGCATTAGTTTTATACAGTCTAACTAGATTCTGAGCTTCTCTATAGCAGGAGCCGTGTCTTTACAGTTTCAGTTTCTTTCTTAAAAATGTTTCAGTAGAATTATTTAAAAAACACATAGGCACACTTTCTTGTAACTATCAAATCATTTAAGAAGAAAACAGTCTATATGACCCCCCCACAAGTGTACACATACTTTAAAGAGTGATTCAGCCATAGTAGAGAGTAGATCTGTTACCTCGAATGGAACACATGACATCATCCACAGATCCTTTTAAAAAGTCAGAATTTAATCAAACTAACACCAGTTAAAGGAAATAGAAGGGCCAGAAGAATATAACACCATGGAAAGGCAGTCAGCAAAATTCAAACAGAAAAACTATAACGGATATACCAACTGGTGTCATTGGGGGAAAAAAATAACAGGAGAAAGGGAGGATAAAAGGAGGAGGAAGAGCATGTAGGTCAAAAGAGACTAGAGAGAGATGTCATCTGTGCTATATATGGAATTTTCATTGGTTTTTTTTTTATTCCATTCATTCATTGTTGCACCCTTCTCCCCGCACAAACCCCTCCCCCTCCCCCCCATTCGCTCCTCTCCTCGAAAAGCAAAAGAAAAACTGAAAAACTCCCTCATTGGTATCATAGGAGTATGCAATGAGGGTTGCAGAGTGGATTATATTTGGGGGTAGGGGGTGGGGTTTGGGGAGGGAATTTTCATTTTAACCTGACTCAAGCAAGTTTAAAATAGTTAAGATAATTGAGGAAATAGGAACATTATCTGATTATGTTAATTATGACTCCTTTTTTGGTATGATTTACAGTGTTACAATTTAAGTGGTTTTTTTCCAATTTAAGTTTTAAAAGGAGTCATTTTATAAATTTTTTTATTGAGATTTTAACTAAAGTTTAGCAAGAACTTGGATATGCATTCATTCATTGTTACACATTTTCCTCCCTTACCCCCACTCAGTTAACTTTGTTCTTAAAAAAACTTCTTTCATTGTTGCACAATTTCCTCACTCCCTCCCCCCAGTCCACTTTGCGATGCATCTCTTATATAGGACTGTTGTCATGCAAATAATACCTAATTATACCTTTTAAACAGTTCTTTTCCTCCTTGGTTTCAATGCACTGTACATTATTTGTCCCCTTCTTTCTTAGTTTCCACCCTACCACCCATGTCAGTCCTATTTTATAACAGTGGCATTATGCAGTATTTGTCCTTTCATGGAAGATAATTCAGATGGACAACAAGCACATGAAGAAATATTCAAAATCCCTAGCTCTAAGAGACATGCAGATCAAAACAACTATGAGATATCATCTCACCCCAGTAAGAATAGCAAAATACAACAGAACAGCAAACATCAAATGCTGGCAAGGTTGTAGAGAAACTGGAACCCTTACTCACTGTTGGTGTGAGTGTAAAATGGTACAACCCCAATGGAAGGCAGTATGGCACTTTCTCAAAAAGTTGGAAATAGAGATACCATTTGATCCAGCAATTCCACTGCTGGGAATATACCCCAAAGAGAACATAACTGCCACCCAAACAGATATATGCACCTATGTTTATTGCTGCTTTGTTCACAATAGCAAAGATATGGAAACAACCTAGGTACCCATCAACAAATGAATGGATAGAGAATCTGTAGTATATTCACACAAAAGGAGTCATTTTAAAGATGATGTTTTCAGGTACTGTATGAGTGCTCTATTCCTACTCATAGCAACCCCATGTGATAGAGTAGAACTGCCTCAGAGTTTTCTAGGCTGTCTTTCCCTAGTCTCTCTTCTCCACAGGCACTGAGCAGCTTCAAACTGCCAACTTTTGGTAAATACCTTAACTATTTTGCCACAAAGGCTCCCAGTTTTGGATAACAATACTGTCATATATACAGATGAAATGACCTGGTAAGGCCACAGTATTCAGTGTTGTTTGAGACCCTTAGCTTGGCATAGAGAAAAAACTGCCTAAATTGTTGAAACACAATTTTCAACTTCTGATTATGTTGTAGTCTAGCTTTGAACTTTCAAAAAGCATCTACTTTCCTTGTTGCCTGTGACTCATAGCAACCCTTGAACAACAGATCTCAACTTTGCTTTGTCCTGTGTCATCCTCACCATTTTTAATATGCTTGAACCCATTGTTAAAGTCACTGTGTCAGTCCATCTGTCCAAGGTCTTTTTCTTTTCACTAACCTTCTGTTTTATCAAGCATAATGTCTTTTTCTAAGGATATTCTAGCAGCATGCCCAGAGGATGTGAGACAAAAGTTCACCATCCTTGCATCCTGGTTGCACTTTCAAATCTAAGACATTCTTTTGGTAGTCCATGGAATACTCAGTACTCCTCCAACCCAACTCAAAGGCATTGATTGTATGGCTCATAACAAAATATGGACAACATTGAGAAAAATGGGAATCCCAGAACATCTAATTGTGCTCCTGCAAAACCAATACATAGGCTAAGAATCAGTTGTCCGAACAGAACAAGGAAACACTGCATGATTTAAAATCAGGAAAGGTGTGCATCAAGTCTGTATCCTTTGTCCATACCTATTCAGTCTTTATGCCAAGCAGATCGTTCAGCAAGTTGGACTTTATGACAATGAATGTGGCAACAGGATATGAGGAAGACTCATCAATAACTTGTTTTATGTACATGATACAACCTTGATTGCTAAAAGTGAGGAGGACTTGAAACACTTTCTGGAGAACATCAATATGGATTATATCTCAGCATCACCACTCATCACTGGGCCAGTAGGCAACATCATGACAGATAGAGAAAAGATTGAAGTTGTACTGATTTCATCTTCCTTGGATCCACAGTCAGCACCCATGGCAGCAGCAGAAATCAGAAGGGAAAATAAAAGAAACCAGAATATATACTGCATTGGAAGAATCTGCTGTTGAGGACCGCTCCAAGGTGCACCTGATTCAAACCATGGTCTTTTCAGTTACTTGCTTTTAAAAAAAGTTTGGTTCTAGAGCATGTTAATTTATATTATATAGTATTAAAACTATAGAACAATATCAGAGTGTGGAAACGATAGAACCATCTCATTGATTTCACATGCAAGCAAAATTCTACTGAAGATTATCCAGAAATGACTGGAACAACACATCAGCAGAGAACTGCCAGAAGTCCAGGCTGGGTTTAGAAGGGGTCATGGTACTAGGGCTATTGTAGCTAATGTTAGATGGACCTTAGCTGAAAGCAGGGAGTACCAGAGGAATGTCTATCTGTGTTTCACTGACTATGCAAAGGCGTTTGACTGTGTGGATCATAACAAACTGTGGCTGACTCTGAGAAGAATGGGAATACCAAAACACTTGATCGTGCTAATGAGAAACCTATACTTGGACCAAGAGGCAGTCGTCAAAACAGAGCAAGGAAACACTGCATAGTTCAAAATTGGGAAGGGCATATGCCAGGGATGTGTCCTGTCTCCATACTTTTCAACCTGTATGCAGAACAGATTATCCAGGAGCCTGGGCTCTATGAGCAGAAATGTGGGGTCAAGATTGGTGGAAGACCTATCAA